CTACCCGAGTGCTCTCCGAATGTCATCTTTGTTTAAAATAGCAAGAAGTGATACCTGGGTCGCACTTGGGTGAGAATCCAAATATAGCCTAGATACAGTAGATTATAATCTACAGAAATTCATCTGTTGCGTGTGACGTTGGCACGAGAAGGATGCAGTTCATAAAAAGAAAAAGTCACGGAATTCTATAAATATCCAACGAAAATCAAATTTATTATTTCATAAACTCTGTCTAACTTTTACTATGTGTTTCTTTCAATTATGGATAGAAGCAAGTGCGAAGTAAAAATAAAAAATGGATAAAATGTGCATTGTTTATAATAAAATTTTTATCTTTCACTTGCTTCTATCCATAATTGCAAAGAAAAGAAACGAATACTAAACTAGTAGTTTTGAGCGTCCAAAATGGCTACAATTTTCACAGGCATTTTGCAAAAAAAATGTACGTAATACCAGAGTTTTTATGAGTAATACCATTTTCATGTTGAGGCTCATCAAAATATTCAAACATTCAAACGACCCTAGTATATATACAGGATGTCCCGTAAGTTTTGGCCAATCGCTTTTGTGTAGATAGAGCAGACTAAATTGAGTCGAAAAGTACTCTACAATTTTCGCAATAATTAACAAGATATTAATTACTAAAAATATTGTCTTGAATAATTTTTTACTCAAATACTATCAACTTTATAAAAAAACTGCCACAGACAAAAATCATTTATTTTCTTTTCATAAAGTTCTGAAAACTTTTTCAGAAACCATTTTTAAAACCGTACTTTCTCATGTTGGAAAAGTAAGAAAAGCGCAGTACTAAAAAGTTGATAAAAAATTCTGAAAAAATTCTTAGATAATATGAGAAGAAAATTAATGATTTTTGTCTCTTGTAGTTTTTTCTATACAGTTAATAATATTTGAATATAAAATTATTTAAGATTAACCAAATTTGGCAATTTATATCCTATATACATATACACACTATATACAATATATACAGGATGGCCAAATTTTGGCCCCACCCGTCCTGAGCAGGTAGAGCAAACTAAATCGAAAAGTCCTCTATACTATTTTACAATGCTCGCAATAGTTAACGAGATATTAACGTTTAAAGGCGCGTCGTTGCTAAGCATGTTGTTTATAAGCGACAATTGCCGGAAATACTAATCGTTAAAAATAGCCGAATAAGCGCGTCCGTTCGGCCTGCTAATGCCAACGTGTACGCCCATTGATGGCTCGGCACGCGGATCGTAGGGAATAGCTTGGCAAGCGCGCTTGACAGACAATCCTCACATCCAGCGCGCCAAGCAATTGCAATGACGGATATTTGATGCTTTAGAAATTAATATCTCGATTGTGAAAATGATTGTGAAATGGTTGAAAACTTTTCAATTTAGTTTTCACTCTAAAATGGTTCATTGCGCTAACCCATGGCTTTTTACACTTATATAGGGTGTGTCATCAAAATCTGGACAAATTGAACAATTTCTTTAAAATATTTATGAATAATATTATATACATATTAATGAATAATTAAATAATAATATTACAAAAAATCCTTTTACATAGCATTTGGGGGATCACTAAAGAGCATAATTATTTGATATAATTAGCTTGAATGGCGGCATCTATTCTCGGTCGGAAGCATTCGCACGCACGCTGTAACATAGTGCTGTTCATGTCGACGAATGCTGACTCAATAGCGATCCTTAATGATGTTACATTGGGATGTCGAGACTTGTTTGTGACCCTTTCAACTGTGCTTACGTAGTAATCCAAGGAATTTAAATCTGGGTTGTTGGAAGGCCAGAATCGGAAATGGGAACTGAGGCGAGCAACTCAGCTTGTTTTGGCAGCCTCAGAGAGCATCTGTCATATCTTTAATGTGTACAATTTGTATCAAAGGTCCTCCTCGGCAATTCGACGTATTGGCTCGCTTACATCAACAATCGATGTTAATTTTCACAATTGCCCTGGGTCATCCGAAATTAGCGCTTGAGTCTTTTCAACGACTGCGGGGGTCCTCGCGGTACGTTCTTTTGAGTGGCTCTTCCTCGCTGGCGTACTAGAACCTTCATTTGACTGTTCTAAAGCCGTATATTTTGCTACAACATCATAAACGATTGATCTCGGGTACCCAAAGAATCGAATTATTTCCGTTGCTGTGCGCTCAGCGCAAAGGTTCTTCGATTACTCCGCACTTGGTTCAATCGGCCATTTTGAGAATATAATTGTTTACTAGAAGCTTTTTCACGCCAACAATCTCTGTGCAGAGGCACAATATAAGGTGAACCAGAGTTGTGGGGAACCAGCTTTTTATCCTGTGAGAAAATTAGCGACTTCATATCTATAATTAATTATAACGTGCATGCAATCGATAATTTTCTTTGGGGGGGGGGGGGGGGGGGGTAAACAGTTGGTTCCACGACTTTGGTTTATCTCTATATAGGCGAAAAATTCGGCTGACGCTGTAATTCTTAATCAATTTTAAGTTTTTTTATTTGCTCGATATTGATGATGAGTTATAAGCTCATTCTGCGTAAATTTTGATTACAGTTCAATGAATATTCATTATATCGTGTAATTTTGATTTCTTCTGCTCACTTCATTGGATCGGCAACCGTGATCAAAATTTACGCGAAATGGGTTTTTAACTCATTCAATTTTGAGCATATTAAAAAAAAAACTTTAAAATTAATTAAAAATTAGAGCGTCGGTCGAATTTTGTTTACAAAGGTGTTTTGCCGTCTATCCTTGCTCCGGTAGCTCGGGTTAAAATTGTTGAAAAAATTTTTTTAAATATGATATTATTTTTTTGAGATATTCAACCGTTTTAGGATTGAACTCCTATCCTAATTAAATTTCAAATGTTAAAATAACAATTATTCTAGTATGTACATACGTATATGACACGCATACGCATAAAAAATATATTATTTAATTAACCATAATGATTTACCATAATTATTAAAATTGGTATGTAGTATAAGTATAAAAAAACCGTGGGTTAACGTTTTAGAATGAACGAACCTTTTTAGAGTGAAAATTAAAGTGAGCTTTCGAAAAGTTCTCAATCATTTCCCCATTTTCGCAATCGAGATATTAATTTATAAAACACCGAATATCCATCGCAAATACTTGGCGCGTTGGGAGTGGGGACTGCCTGGCATCAAGCACCTCGCGCCGCGCAGGCGAGCCTCCATGTTATGACTTGACTGGCGTGCCTGCTAAACTATTCTTACTCCCCGCGTCTCGCATGCCGAGCCATCAATGGGCGTACACTTTGGTATTAGTAGACCGAACGGACGCGCTAATTCGGCTGTCTTTAACGATCAGTATTTCATTAACTATTGCAAAATGGTAGAGAACTTTTCTACTCAGTTTAGTCTGCTCTATTTACACAAAAGCGATTGGCAAAAACTTTCAGGACACCCTGTATACATATCATACATATCATTTTAATTGATGCATTAAAATAAGCTCTTGAAAAGTGAATTTTAAAGAAAAATGTTTTTGTAGGCAAAAATTATATGGTTTGGAAGAGGACACAAGACTATTGGTTTAACCTTGGAAAGTTGTTTCAAGGTCACGTAAAGATCATCATTAATTTCTTAAATGGAATTCCATATATTTCATTGCATATATATTCTTGTAGTTTATCTTGAAAGCTTTCCAAAATATATAATTAATTATTATAATTAAGTTTATTTTCATTAAGTATTTTTTGAATTATAAAGCTTGCAAGTTACAGTACCGCCGGCATTAAGTATTATAAGGTATCCAACTAACACGGTTAAAATCTTTAATGTTATTCAAGATCATGATTTGGATAACATTTGTCAAAATTAAGAATTGAAGATTGTTCCTTTTATTTTCATTTTTACACTAAAAATTACATTTCTACATAAAAATGAAAATAAGAGGTACAACCGCCAATAATCTTGATCTATAGTATTTTGGAAAGCTCGAGATAAATTATAAGAATGCAATAAAATATATGGGATTCCATTTAAGAAACCGATCTTTACGTGATCTTGAAATAACTTTCTAAGATCAAATCAGTAGTACCATCTTATATCCCCTTCCAAACCATATAACTTTTGTCTGAAACATTTTTCTTTAAAATTCACTGTTCAAGAGATATTTTAATGCGTCAATTAAAATGATATACTGTATACATAAAATGCACATTCCATCCATTTGTAATGAAATTTTTACTAGGATAGAACATTTATATTAAGAAAATGTCTATGTTATATAGGTCTACGAACTAAAAAATACAAATTTTCAACTTTTTTTTTCATTTTTAGTAAAAATCATTTGCCCCACTTTCTAATTTTACGTCTACTTTAATCTTGTAAAACAATTTTTTGTTCTGTTCAGTCAATTCAGAAATTCATATACCTAAAATGTGTCAATAATTCTGTTACTTCTTTTAGCTATATGTATACAGAGTGTTTTTTAAATAGCGGACATTAATCATGCCCTATTCCTGATTAAAAATTGAATCGAAAAGTCCTGTACAATTTTGCAATTTTCGCAACGAGGAAATATTAATTTTTAAAAACTGCTGCATAAGCGCGTATCCGGTTACCTAACTATAAACTATTATGAAAGTTGCAAAATAGTAGAGACTTTTCAATTCAATTTTTGATCAGGAATAGCGCTATATGATTAGTGTCGGCTATTTAAGGAACACTATGTATACGTATAATAATACAATTAATGTCGCAATAAATAATAACTTCCTTTGATATATTTGATTTAAAAAATCGAATTCCAATTTATCAGAAATTTTTCAATTAATCAAAGAATTTATCAATTAATATTCTTTCAATCATTTATAGATAATTCATACGATACGTTTAAACATATACTACACTACATTCTTCTTATAAAACAATTAATAAATACATTAAAATATTTAATTTATTAACAATAATATCCAATCCTTACAATCAACATGTATACATATATATATGTATAAATTAGAAGATCTCTCTTACATCATGATGAGCGAAGTCATTGCTGCTATTGTCTTGGCGCACAATGTCATCTATAAAGACAATATTATATATTATTTCTTTGCATATAATGATTTAAATATGTATATCAATAAGGGAAGATTCCCAATTCAAAAAAATTATGAAACTTTCGCAATTTCCTATATAATAAACTATTTTTTATATTTTACTGAATAGCA